TTATAGCAAAAATTCTTTTTGTTAGTCCCTAAATGTATGACCTTGCACTTTGCACTATTAAATTTCATCCCATTTCTATTACTCCATTTTACAAGGTTGTCCAGATCTTCTTGTATGACACTCCAGTCCTGCTCCGTATTGGTAATACTTCCCAACTTTGTGTCATCCACAAATTTTATTAGCACACTCCCATTTTTTGTGCCAAGATCAGTAAAAAAAAAAAAAAAAAAAAAAAGTTAAATAAGATTGGTCCCAAGACCGATCCCTGAGGTACTCAACTAGTAACCTCCCTCCAGCCTGACAGTTCACCTTTCAGTATGACCCACTGTAGTCTCCCCTTTAACCAGTTCCTTATCCACCTTTCAAATCTCATATTAATCCCCATCTTCTCCTATTTAACTAATCATTTCCCATGTGGAACTGTATCAAATGCCTTACTGAAATCCAGGTAGATTAGATCTACTGCATTTCCTTTGTCTAAAAAATCTCAAAGAAGAAGATTAGTTGGTCTGGCACGATCTACCTTTTGTAAAACCATGTTGTATTTTATCCCAATTATCGTTAACCTTTATGTCCTTAACTACTTTCTCATTCAAAATTTGTTCCAAGACCTTGCATACAACTGAGGTCAAACTAACAGGCCTGTAGTTTCTCGGTTCACTTTTTTTCCTTTTCTTAAAAATAGGAACTTTATTAGCAATTCTCCAGTCATAAAATATGACCCCCGAATTTACAGATTCATTAAAAATCCTTGCTATTGGGCTTGCAATTTCATGTGCCAATTCCTTTAATATTCTTGGATGGAAATTATCTGGGCCCACTTATTTCATCCCATTAGGCTGTTTGAGTTTGACTTCTACCTCAGATGTGGTAATTTCTACCTCCATAGCCTCGTTCCCATTAGCCACCCTGCCACTACCCCTTCATTAGTCTTATTAAGAATTGAGGCAAAGTATTTCTTTAGGTGTTGGGTCATCCCTAGATTATCTTTAATCTCCACCCCATCCTCAGTGTTTAGTGGTCCCACTTCTTCTTTCCTTGTTTTCTTTTTATTTATATAGCTATAGAACCTTTTACTATTGGTTTTAATTCCCTTTGCAAGGTCCAATTCTGCGTGGCTTTTGGTAGTTCTCACTTTATCCTTACACTTTCTGACCTCCAAAACGTAATTTTCCTTGCTGATGCCTCCCATCTTCCATTCCTTGTAGGCTTTCTGCTTTCTCTTAATCACCTGAGATGTTTGCTCATCCAGCTTGGTCTGCAACCCTTCTCTATGAATTTTTCCCCTTGCTTGGGATGCAGGCTTCAGATAGTTTCTGCAACTTTAACTTAAAGTAATTCCAAACCTCCAACACATTCACAGCTTTGAGTTCTTCAGTCCAGTCCACTTTCCTAACTTATTCCCTTAATTTTTTATAGTTAGCCCTTTTGAAATCAAGGACCCTACTCCCAGATCTTTTTTTGTTTAGCCTTCCATTTAGTTTAAACTGAATTAGCTCACAATCACTTGAACCAAGGTTGTCCCTTACAATCAGTTCTTCTATGAGGTCCTCAATACTCATCCCAAATCTAAAATGACATCACCTCTTGTTGGTTCAGCAACTATTTGATGAAGAAATCTGTCAGCTATCACATGCAGGAAAATCTAGGCCCTACTATTATTAGCAGCACTTGTCCTCCAATCTATATCTGGGAAGTTAATCCTGTAATCACACAATCTCCAGTAGTATTTATTTCATTAAAAACATTAAAGAGGTTTCTATCCATATCCAAATCGGATCCTGGGGGTCTGTAGCACACCCCAAGCACTAGCTTTCTTCCCTAAAGTGATTTTGGCCCAAACAGACTCGGTCTCATCCATTCCATAACTTCTAATTTCTTTACAGTCTACCTCATCATTAAAGCTGTGACCTGCTGAATTTTTTTTTATTTGCATGATGTACATACTGACAGAGCAGAGGGTAGCTCTTGAATCCTTCAAAGAATGTAAGCACTTGTCAGCTGACTTGGTGAACAGCTTCAAATAATTATAATATAATGTGAGATTTTTAGTGGTGCTCTGGACCTCTCTCAGGATCGCTGATGATTACAATCAAAATGCATGGTGCATAACCATCACTGTAGATATAGAGTGAGCCATCGTGTCAGCTGCACCAGGGAGGCTTGTAATTATGTCCTAGCTAGCAACTTTACCTCTGTGTTTGCTCTCACTGTTCTTAAGGTAGCTGGTCAATGAAGGCATTTCACTTCCCAAAATTGGTGTAATTATGTTTCATGAATTGGTAACTCTAAATTGTAACAGATGGATGTAGATGAATAACTTTTGCCGCTGAACAAGAGTAATCGTCGCTGATCATTGTCATGTGAAATGGATCTAAAGGGGTGTTGCCTGTTCCCCTCATTCACAGAACCACTAGTGAGTTTGGGACTGGGTGCATGAACATGAACTCAGAACACTTAGCAGGAACTTAATACTTCTTATCTGGCCTGGTGGGGATATAGTAGCAAATTGTTTTAGGCAATGGAGGAAGCAGTATGGAAAATGTCTATTAGTTTCTGCTAGGTGTCATGGATCTCTTCCAAAGGAATTTAGAGGGAATCAGCAATTCTTTTAATGAGTTCCTGGAATTGCTTGAAGTCATCTGCATACACAGAAGAAGAGGCATGATAGCCTCCTCAGGTGAGGAGAAAGAGCTGTTGGTCTGAGACCTAAGCTTCTTATTCAACCCTCTTCTCCCCTTCTCCTCAGAGGATTCCTCCTGAGGAGAGGACTGAAGTGGAGGGTCTGAAGGAATGGAAGGTTTTCTTCTCGGATGCTCCTTGAGAGTGTAACTGGAGGCCCTAGAGAACTGCTCCCTATCGGCTGCCCACAGATAAACACGATCACTGGGGAGGGGACTCAGTGCTCCTCTTTTTCAAAGGTTTAGAGGTACCTTGTGAGAAGACCTTCTGGACGAGCGAATGGCAGTAGCTGAAGTCGATGGCACACTCTGCATATCAGAGCCCCAGTGCACAGAGGGATGTCATAGCCTGGGTCTGACGAAGCCTGCAAGGAGCACTCCATGAGGAGTAGTCTGACTTCAATCTCCCTGTTCTTTCTTGACCTACTCTCAAAGTCAACACAGACTGTACACCTGGAAAGGATGTGGGTGTCCTGAAGGCAGCAAAAGCAGCTAGGATGCCATCATTAATAGGGATAGCACTGGCAAGTTAGGCAGGGATTAAACCCAAGAGATCTTGGCATATCCTGAGAAAATAAACAAACAGAACTTCTACAGCGAGAAGTCCCCTCAGAAGCGGGGTGGGGAATGAGGCAGTCTCACAATCGGGGCAGCAGGTTTGTATAAATTTTGGTGGTGACCAGAACGGGTCCAAGTCCCACCCCTCACATGTCTGCCTTGTAAGCTGATACATATTTTTTAAAATAATGTAAAAATGTGAGGGCTCTGGGGTGGGGCTGGGGATGAGGGGTTTGGGGTATGGGAGGGGCTCAGGCAAAGGGTTGGGGTGCCGGGGTGAGGGCTTTGGGGTAGGGCCGAGGATGAGGGGTTCATGGTGCAGGAGGGGGCTCAGGGCTGGGGCAGAGGGTTGGGGTGTGGGGGAGTGAAGGTTCTGGCTGGGGGTGCAGGATGTGGGGTGGGGCCGGGGATGAGGAGTTTGAAGTGCAGGCAGGCTGCCCCCAGCTGGGGCCAGAGAGGACTCCGCCCAGCCCTCTCTCCCCCGGCAGCACACTCACCTTGCACCACTGTCACTGCACATGCTCCTAAGGCCCCTCTGAGGTCCAGGAAGCCCTCTCACCTCCCCTGTGGTGGGTGCGGGGAGGGGGCTGCCATCACATGTGCGCCTCCTCCCCTGATGCTGCCCCTCATTGTAGCCTCACTGGGGGTGGGGGATGGGGCTGCCCCTTGCCCAGCGTGGGGCAGGAGCAGTGACTGTGGACAGGGGGGCCCTCTGTGCTGGAGGAGGGTCCCACCGGAAAAGGGAAGGGACCGTCCGTCTGAGGCGAAAGGGTAGGGTCAGGGTCAGCTTGGGTCAGCCTGCCCTGGCACTCGTGGTTGGGAGGCGCTAGGACCCTGTGGCGGCAATTGATGCCAGGAGCCAGAAGAGCGGAGTGCAGCTCAAAGCTGCAGGGGGCAGCCGCCTGCTGCCCAGGGTGCAGGCAGGGACTCTCGGAGGAGGCGCGTGGGGGCAGCAGGCAGGCCAGGGGAGAGCCTCGGCCCTGAACATTGGTGGAGCTGGGCCCCCGGGCCCTGAATATTGCTGGAGCACAGGCACCACGGGCCCATATAACTTGCTGCCCCTGCTCACAATAAAGAACCCCCAACTAAGTTATAGTATTTTGTAACTGATACAAACTGTTAAACTAACTATTAAACTGTAACAACGCTAAATATTTACAAAAGAGCTAAAATTAAACTAAGGCACTGCAAGTTGTGCTTGGGCTCAGGCCAAGGGCAGTTGAGAAGGAACTGAAAGTGGTTCATCTGACACTGCCTTATATACCCTTAGGACAGGAGTTTAGCTAGGGCACATATGTGAACTGAACAGGCACTGCTCCCAAAGGTGCATGGAGGCCATGCACACTGGAAGTAGAGCACTCAAAGGGACATTACTCGACAAACGAATAAATGGGTTCCCAGGAACAATTTATAACCCCTGAATACAGCCTCCCTCACTGAAGAAGGTGAAGGCAGAGTGGGGTTAGCATGGTTGTGTTGGTGATAGGTTCTCCTGAGCAGCCTTAACTAGTTTTCAACCTAGTATTTTGCTGTGTGGAATATAGAAAGAACTAGGCTCAGCCTTTCAGAAAGAAGCAAGATCTAAATCTTTGTCCTCAATGCAGCGTTAGTGAATATGTGTTATAGGGATCCTACCCTGGGCTAGGCCCTCACTAACCTCCTGCAGTCTCTCTTCAGAACTGGAGTCTCTGGAGAGGCTATAGGAACACAAATATTTTAGAATATATACTCTTCTTATATTAAGCCAAGAAAATTACATACTTGCAAAAAGTTGCTTTTCCTCATCTCCGTTAGGGTGATTTTCCCAGACCAGGATCTATTGACCATGTAGAATATTCTCTGTATAACCTACAAAAAGCAAACAAATAAATAGTTATCTTAAAGACATGCACTGCCTAAAGTACACCAGTTTGTAAATCTGAAGTGAATTTATTCATTTGGTTTAAATGATTAAAAGAAATTTTTAATTTACAATTTTGATTTACACGACAATGGACAACCCTCAGATATCCACCCCAAATGTATCACCAACTCATCCACTTCATCCTCACCCATAACAATTTTACATTCAACAACAAACTCTTTGTCCAAACCATGGGAACAGCCTTGGATTCTAGGGACGGCTCCCCAAAATGCCATCTTCTTCATGGGCCACCTTGAAAAAGAATTTCTGGACAAATGCACCAAAAAAACAGTGATATACCTGAGATACATTGATGATATTTTCATCTTCTGGACAGACGACTTAAACTTCCTCACAGATCTCCACCACAACTTCAACAATCACCCCTTGTCCATTCAACTCTCTCTGGAACACTCTGACACTAGCATCAATTTTATGGACACCACAATCAGCTTCAACAATGGAACCCTACAGACAACTATATACAAGAAACCCACAGATTATCGCACCTATCTTCATAGATCCAATAACCACCCCAAACACACCAAGAAATCTGTTATCTACAGCCAGGCACTCAGATACCACAGATTATGCTCCAAGGAGAAAGTCTGGGATGTACACCTTAATATACTCAAAACAACCTTCAAACAAGGACACTTACTCAGAGAACCTGCTTTAATACAGAAATAAATCCCCTCTGACCATGCACCCCTATTCATCACCTACCACCCCACACCGGAACTCATAAGGGGTATCATCAAACAACTACAAAGCATACTGGATGGGAACCACATACTGAAATAATTTTTTCCTGAACCCCCTCTTCTGGCCTTCTAACAATCACCCAACCTCTCCAAGCTCATCATCAGAAGCAAGCTCCCAACAGGCCTTTTGATAATAAACTGCTGATGCACAGCAAGCAGGGATGCCCAAATGAAAAGCATAATTCTGGGTACACATATCATACGTTAACAATGGACGTAGCAGAGACAGATTATCTGGCTGGATGTGGCATAGGCCATTGGTCATGTGTTTATGTCATTCAGTCCCCACTCTGACCTCTAGTAATCTGGAGGATGAATGACATGGAGGAGGACAGAAATACCTGTTAAGTGAGCGCAAACAAGAGGTAGTACTTAGATAGTATGATGCTGAGGTCATGTAAACACCTATCCTAGTCTCACTCCCTTCAGCATGAAATAGTCATTTTACTAAAACTTCACATGGTGATGAGGATAAATGCCAAAATGTGATTAACAGGACAAGGCCAAGCTTAATAACAGTAGAAACAAGAGCAAAGAGAGACAACTAATAAGTCTGTTCCTAGAAGTTATAGAAGATTACTATTGTGTACAAACCTATTGAACAGGATGGACGAGCTGTTCCAAGTATTCTCTGGTCCTACCAAGACAAACAGCTCAAACCAATAGTAGATGGGGGGGCTCTCTAACCCAGCCAAACATTGGGTCTTTACTGAACAAGAAAATGATAGCAGTGTCAATGGTGCTAGGTTCCCATGGCATAATAAAAAATCATGCCCTCCAGAAATGTATACACATCCTTCAGCAAAGGCTACTCTATGGGTTTGGGATAGAACTAGAGATAAAATAAGATGTTTTACTTAGCAGATAATCCAAATTTTAACCCAAATCACAAACCGAAGAGGTTTAAAGATTGGGGGAGCCATGGAATACATATGGGTGGCCAGATCCTCAGTAAAGAAACTTTTTTAACTTATTTGGAAATAAAAAACTAGCTTTAATTGGCCCACCCTCCTATGTACCAATACCTTCAAGTTAGGCATTATGTTTCTTAACTTTTTGGAAAAGGTGTTTTAAGATAACTTTAGGAGGAGTGATGGAATCTGGGCAATCAGAAAACAAAAAAAATAGTTAATTTATATCAATCTTTGCAAACAACTTTCCTAAAAATAAAAAAAAAAAGGGTCCATATATGACACACTGGGAAAGGAGTTGGATACACAAATGACCTTAGAAAAATGGGATTTAATCTGGAAAAGAGGACCAGCAACCTCAATCTGTAGCATGATAAAAAAAAAGTTTATTTAAGATACTGCTTCAATGGTATCTCACACCAGTGAGGTTAAGAAAGAGAGAAAGAGAGATTGAATAGGGAGAAATGTTGGAGAAATTGTAGTGAAAGAGGAGTGTGATGGGTAAAACCCCATTCTAGGCAGGAAAGGGCTAAAGTCCACTTAGGCACAGTCACTCCACCTAAATGGTAATTATATAATTACTTGTCAGCTACAGCGGGTGCGACTAAAGAAGGATCAGATGATAACACAACAGACATTTGGGCCTTATAAACAGACTGAGAGAGAGGTCATTCTGGGGCAAGAAGCTATAAGGACCAGACAGGCCCATTATCCTGTCTTCTGACAGCAGCAAGTGCCAGACGCTTCTGAAGGAATGAACAGAATAGGGTAATTTTGAGTGATCCATCCCCTGTCGTCCAGTTCCAGCTTCTGGCAGTTGGAGGTTTAGGGACTCCTGGGGCATTCGGTTGCGAACCTGAACATCTAATTGCCATTGATGGACCTATCCTTTAAGAATTTATCTCATTCTTTTTTTAACCCAGTTGTACTTTTGGCCTTCACATCATCCCCCGACAATGAGTTCCATAGGTTGACCGCATTGTGTGAAGAAATACTTCCTTATATTTATTTTAAACCGGTTGCCTTTTAATTTCAGCAGGTGATCCCTAGTATTTGTGTTACATAAATGGTTAACACCACTTCCTCATTCACATTCTCCACACCATTCATGATTTTATAGACCTCTGCCATTTTGTTTCCAAATCACCCAGTTTGGTGAGATTCCTTTGTATCTGTTCACAGTCAGCTTTGGCCTTTACTATTTTGAGTAATTTTGTATCATCTGCAAATTTTCTGTTAAAACTGTTGGTGAGGCATGATTTCTCTTTACAAAAGTAGTGTTGACTCTTCCCCAACATACTGGGTTTATCTATGTGGCCGTGCCTATGCATCTATGTATTTATCTGTTATCCAGATCCTGTGCTCCACTTAGGACTAAATCAAGAATTGGCTCTCCCTTTGTAGGTTCCAGGACTAGCTGCTCCAAGCCACAGTCATTTATGATGTCTAGAAATTTTATCTCTTCATCCCTCCCTGAGTCATCCCACCCATTCAATAGGAAGTCAGTAAACCCCTCATTATTATTGCGTTTTGTGCCTTTATAGCCTTTCTAATCTCTCTGAGTGTTTCACAATCACCATCTTGGCCAGGAGGTTGGTAGTACATTCCTACTGCTATACTCTATTATTCAAGCATGGAATTTCTATCCATAGAGATCTAGGCCTGGTCTACACTAGGAGTTTATGTCGAATTTAGCAGCGTTAAATTGAATTAACCCTGCACCAGTCCACACAACAAAGCTATTTAGTTCGACATAGAGGTCTCTTACATTCGACTTCTGTACTCCTCCCCAACGAGGGGAGTAGAGCTAAATTCGAAATGGCCATGTCGAATTAGGGTAGGTGTGGATGGAAATCGACGCTAATAGCTCCGGGAGCTATCCCACAGTGCACCACTCTGTTGACGCTCTGGACAGCAGTCCGAGCTCGGATGCTCTGACCAGCCACACAGGAAAAGCCCCGGGAAAATTTGAATTCCTTTTCCTGTCTGGGCAGTTTGAATCTCATTTCCTGTTTGGACATCGTGGCGAGCTCAGTAGCACTGGCAACGATGCAGAGCTCTCCAGCAGAGATGGCCATGCAATCTCAGAATAGAAAGAGGGCCCCAGCATGGACTGATCGGGAAGTCTTGGATCTGATCGCTGTGTGGGGCGATGAGTCCGTGCTTTCCGAGCTGCGATCGAAAAGACAGAATGCAAAGATCTACGAGAAGATCTCAAAAGCCATGACAGAGAGAGGATACAGCCGGGATGCAACGCAGTGCCGCGTGAAAATCAAGGAGCTGAGACAAGGCTACCAGAAGTCCAAAGAGGCAAACGGACGCTCCGGATCCCAGCCCCAGACATGCCGTTTCTACGAGGCACTGCATTCCATTTTAGGTGCGGCCGCCACCACTACCCCACCACTGACCGTGGACTCTGAGGATGGGATATTGTCGACGGCCGGTTCCTCGGAGATGTTAGCGGACGGGGAAGATGAGGAAGGAGATGAGGAGGACGAGGCAGTCGACAGCGCTTACAACGCTGATTTCTCCGACAGCCAGGATCTCTTCATCACCCTCACAGAGATCCCCTACCAACCGTCCCCAGGCGTTAACCCGGAGCCAGAATCAGGGGAAGGATCAGTCGGTAAGTGTTTAAAACATGTAAACATTTATTTTGAACAGAACAGGAATATTAACAATATTAACAATGGGTTTTTCATGATTAGTTTGCCCTAGGCGCTTAACGTTTTAGTCCTTGGCAGTGCAGCTACTGGAAAAGAAGGTCTATATATCCGGGGACAGAGCTAAAATCCTCATGGGACATCTCCACAAAGCTCTCCTGGAGGTAATTGGAAAGCCTTTGCATGAGGTTCCTGGGGAGAGCGGCCTTATTAGGTCCTCCGTGGTAGGAAACTTTTCCACGCCAGGCTATCATCAAGTACTCCGGGATCATTGCCTTGCAGAGCATGGCGGCATATGGCCCTGGTTTTTGCTGGCTTTCACACAGCATGCGGTCTTTCTCTGTCCCAGAAATCCTCAGCAGAGTGATGTCGCTCATGGTGACCTGCTTTGAATTAGGGGAATGTTACTGTTGGGACTGCTTGCCTGCTCCTTTACAGAACTGTACGCGGTGGAGGTGGGAGAGGGCCAGCATACAGGGATCTTTCCCGGGGATAGCCGCGAGGGGGTGGGACAGGGGCAGAGTTCATGCTTGCTGGATTGCCGGCAGCAGGAACTGGCCAACGCTAGGAGCATTGCTTTGAACGTGAAAGGAGGGCACTGCTATAA